GTTTGATGGCAGTAGCTACCTCATCCAGGGATGGAGGATAGCTGTCGTGGGTCAGCTCTGGATGCTGAGGGACCTGCTGGGTAGTCAGCACATCCACATCTGTGTTTCGGTTGAGCAGTGAATGGTAATGCTCTTTCCATGCTGAAGGATGCCTTCATCGTCTTTTTTTAGGGAGTTACCATCAGATGAGTGGGGGGTGCGCCATGAGTGATTGGCCCATAAAATGTTTTAGTTGAATTGGAAAATTTGCGCATCTTGTGCTGATCTGCAATTTTTGTGTTTCACATGCGTTATTTTTAAACCAATCGTTCTTTAGATTGCGAAGTTCGTGCTGGGACGACTCTTTCCTCTTGAGGAAGGTATCAGCTTTGGTCCGAGACTGAGGGTTGTTCTGTCAGTCAGTTAAAGCAGCAGGTTTATCATCAATGAGTACATTGATTGCCGGATCATTTTCATCAAACCAGTCCTGGTGTATTCTTTCGATCTGACCCAGGGTCTCTCTGCAGGTTTTTGACATGACAGTGTCGAGAATATCCCAGTCGGCATTGGGGATTTGGGTTGTTTGTTGTCGGATTGTTTATCAGCCGATGTTCGAGCTGCTCTCTGAAAGCAGGTATTACCACTGGATCCTCCAGATACTTATTGTTAAAACCTCTTCTGGAGGCTTGCTGCCTTCGCCGTTTTGGGGCGACATGAAGTGATAACTTGGCTCTGACGAGCCGATGATCAGTGTAACAGTGGTCTGAGCCACGCATGACTCGGGTGATGAGGACATCTCGACGATCTCTTTCTCCGACAATGATGCCATTGCTTGGATCGTGGGTATTGCCATGAATCCTTGAACTTGTCGACCTGCCTGAATAAGGTATTGGCGATAGTGAGGTTGTGTGCAGTACACTTGCTAAGGAGTAGTAGGCCGTTGGGATTACACTTGGCTAGTCCATTTCTCCCTATGGTTCCCTGCCAAATGTCAGCATCTCTGCCAACTTTGGCATTGAAGTTACCAAGGAGCACAACCTTATCTTCTCTTGAGATGGAGGTTAGCACTCTGTCGAGGTCGGCATAAAAGGCCTCCTTGGTGATATTCTCTGCATCCAGTGTTGGGGCGTATGCCCTTTGTCACAAGGGCGGTTCTTCTTTCAGAACGCTCATTTGTGCCAGTATCCAGAAGGGTCCTCACGATTTATGCAGAGACCATAAGAGGATTTATAGCTTTTTATTTTGGGATCTGTGATTATGTTTGTGTTGTCGACCGCATAAAGATGACCTTACTGGGTACGCTTGCCCAGTCAGGTTGGTTTTTTAGGAAGGCTATGTTTAGGGCACCTTTTCCAGCCTCCTCCCCGTGTGGGGTGAGCAGAGTGGCTCCTCGAAAGGGTTGCTTAGTCGCACAGACAGAATTGCCCAGATCCTAGTGCATAAATGACCATCTTATCTTTGCCGCCCACGTGCAGATTTGTGACGAGAGACTCCCGGCAGCCGTCTCTGCCACACCTTCAGTCCCAACACTCCACACCCTCACCCTCAACACTCCACACCCTCACTCTCAACACCCCACACCTTCACCCTCAATACTCCATACCTTCATCCTTAACACTCCACACTTTCTCCCTCAACATTCCACACCTTCACCCTCAATACTCCACACTTTCATCCTCAACATTCCAAACCTTCACTCTCAACACTCCGCACTTTCACCCTCAACACTCCAAAACATCACTCTCAACACCTCACCCTCAACACTCCACACCTTCACTATCAACACTTCATACCTTCACCCTCAACACTCCCCATTTTCACCCTCAACACTCCACACCTTCACTATCAACACTCCATACCATCACCCTCAACACTCCCCACTTTCACCCTCAACATTTCACACCTTCACCCTCAGCACTCCAGACTTCCACCCTCAACACTCCACACCCTCAAACCCTCAACACTCCACACGTGGGCTGTCCACTTCCCAGGTGCTAAAACGCTCTAATTTTAATTTTTTCCTCAGCTGAAACTCTTTATAAGCAGTTTACAGTTTCAACTGTTTCTATAAACAGTTAGCAGTCAACTGCCACAACTAGAATTATAATTTTTACATTACTAAATTAACGGGGCGATTTTATTGTCGTTGGCATGTCTCTGGTCATATGTTCATTAAAGTATAATATACTCTATTTAGAAGATTATTATTTATTAATCGGTGTTGTTATTATTATCACAATTGAAAGTGGGTCCCGGAGGCCTGGCGGTTCTTCAGGGACAGTTTGGATACTGACCTACAACGCCAGTGTGGCTGGCATTTACAGCTGGTTGAATTTTAAGTGCCGCCGGATTATTATTATTATTATTATTATTATTATTATTATTATTATTATTATTATTATTATTATTATTATTATTATTATTATTTTCAAGATACATAAACTAACGTTTTCAAATATTTTGTTAGTAAAACATCGTAACAGTGGGGCTGTTTGGATCATGCAAATTAGGAGAATCGTAGGTGAACAGGAGACATAATTTAAGAACAAGAATAATTATCTTTACATTTTAGGTTCAAATTTCTGTTCCTAAATAGTGGTGTTATTATTATTGTTATATGGGACAATTTAAATCACATTTAGAGCAATCTAACCTTTCTTAATATTAATAAAGTTGACCCAAAATAGGTTAGGCTCGGTTCAGTTAGATTAGGCTAAATTACATAGGTTTGATTAGGTCAAGTTAGATTACGGTAGATAGGTTTGGTTAGGTCAGATTAGTTTAAGTTAGATATGTTTGGTTAGATTAGTTAGGGTATTTAAGTTAGGTTTAATATATAGTTTAATATAGTTAACTATTGATGACATTTACGTTTATGATTGTAATATTGTTTATCTACGTGATCCCTAACACGCATGACACGTTATTAACACTGTCATTAAATTCAAGATGCGCATGGTAGGTGTAAGTAACTATACAGTACTTGCTCTTGAATTTTTTGCAAGATTCCTATATAAAGTGCGTTATGTATACAATATATAGTGTGAATGTCGTAATTCTGCAACATATTGTGTCATATCTGTTGCACATTAAAATTTGAAAAATCAAGTCCCAGTATATATTTCATTCTCAATTGCCACATGTCGTGTTGTACGCCGGTGTACACTATTTGTAAAAAAAAATTGTATATCTAGTTATATAAATCACATTTCCATACTTTGTTACTGACTGTATTATCGGTTATAGAACTACCCCAAATTGTTACCCTTTTCTGCATTTGCTTCAGCTGCGTTTTTCCTATTTGTATTTCGCAGTGTTTGTTTAACGCTTTTAACTTTTTTTTTTAACTTTGCTGTCAGCAGTTGTGTCAAATCATCACTTCAACACACTAGGTGTTCTGACGATTGACAAAGGCACCATCAAAATGTATTCAAAGTAAAATCAAATATCTGAAACACACTGTTTGGTGGCTTATCTCTCATGACTGCCATTACAGTAGGTTCGTGTGATTGCCTTTGCGTGCATGGTATTGCTTGTGCATGAAAGCTTTTAGAGTGTCCTCGTACATAAAGACATGGCACATCCTCGTTGGTGTGAATATGCAAGTGAATATACACCAACACACATGACATCACGCTCTTGTATGAGGGCATCAGCAGCGACAAATAGTTTGTATACACGCTATCGTATGCAAGATAAGCTTCTGTATTGTATTTGCACGAGCGTTCTTTATGGGTGTGTATAACAAGAGAGAGACCAAGAGACCGGTTCATCTGTTGAGGTCCATAACACACGTAAACCCAGGACAACATTCAGTATATGCCGTTTTCTCATCTCCAACACCATTTACGATCCCCGTGTTTCCTTTCCGGATCGATTTTACACATTTAACGCCCAAAACTCTATTTCCTGGCCTCCAGATAAGTGAGTTAATATTCCTGAGAATCACTAAGAGCCCGAAGATTTGAAACGTATGTGTCTGCCTCAATATTCAGAAGTCAGCCACACACACACACACATATTATCGTGACCGTGACACCGCTGACTCATAACTAGATGAGCTTATCGGACACATTCTCTTCTCAAAATTTTAGTAAATATTATAGAAAAAAAATCTGATATTAATAACCAATCTGTCCACCGTTACTCGTAAATTTTGACGTCGTGCAGGTTTGGGTGTGAAGATGATGGTGTAGGTGCAGATATGGGCGTGAAGATAGGGTGTGGGTTTTGGTGTGGGTGAGAAGATGAGGGTGTAGCTGTCGGTGTGGGTGAGAAAATGAGGGTGTAACTGTAGGTGTGGGTGTGAAGATAAGGGTGTGTTGTAGATGTAGGTGTGAAGATGAGGGTGAGGTGTAGGTGTGGGTGTGAAGATGAGGGAGTTGATGTGGGTGTGAAGATGAGGGTGAGGTGTAGGTGTGGGTGTGAAGATGAGGGAGTTTATGTGGGTGTGAAGATGATGAAGATGATGGTGTGAAGAGGAGGGTGTAGGTATGAATGTGAAGATGAGGGCGTGCTGCGGATGTGGGGGTGAAGATGAGGGCGTGGGGGTGGAGATGAGGGCGTGATGTAGGTGTGAGTGAAGAAGAGGAAGTGATTTAGGTGTGGGTTTGAAGAAGAGGGGATAGGTGTGAGTGTTTGTGTGAAGATGAGGGTGTGGGTGTAAGTGTTAGTATGAAGAAGAGAGCGTGTTGTAGGTATGGGTGTGAAGATGAGGGTGTGGTATAGGTGTGGGTGTGAAGATGAGGGCGTAGTTTCGGTGTGACTATAAAGTCATGGACGTACTGTAGGTGTGGATATAAGCTCGTGGGCGTACTGTAGGTGTGGATATAAGCTCGTGGGCGTACTGTATGTGAGGATATAAGGGCGTGGGAGTTCTATAGGTTGGATATAAAGTCGTGGGCGTACTGTAGGTAAGGATATAAAGTTGTGGGCGTACTGGCGGTGTTGATATAAAGTCGTGGGCGTACTGTTGGTGTGTATATAATGTTATGGACGTGATGTAGCTACAGTATACTCACAATAGTGTAGACGGCAGCGGTAAGTGCGGCGTGGTAGGCGTCGAAGCAGCCCCGCCCATTGGCCCGCACCACAGGAGTCGTCAACCTGTAAAAACAAAATACACACTCTTAAATATCAACAACTCACTTGCACCTTGGTCAAGTGGTTATCGCAACTGAACTAACAATACAAGTCCAGGGTTCGAATCCACACTTAAGCGAGTGTGGTTGTTATCAGGTGTAAATTAGTAGCTACTACTGCATATGATAATAGTTGAGATATTATGAGTACAGTAATCTTATCTTCACTGACCAACTGTTGTCACGTTATGCTAAGGCGAAACCCTTTCTTTGCTGTGAGTTTATGATATAAATTATGTTTTTTTTATAATATGACTAGAGGAATCGCCGCCCTCCGGGCGGCTCTTTCGCTAGGCCACGGTAGGACGCCACCTTCCGGGAGGCTCCACATTGTCTCACTGTAGTGCACTAAGGTAGACCACATTTTTGGTTTTGCCATTAGCAGCAAGTATGTACAGATTTTTGCCAGTTCCCACTCTGGAGCATCCAGCATAGAACTGTCCATGAGAGAAGCAAGGAAACACCAGGTTTAGGCCAACCATCTTTAGGGACTGTCCCTGGCTTTTGTAGATGGTCATGGCAAAGCTCACGTTAAACCGGACTGAAGTCGCTTGAACTCAAATGGCAGGTCAGTGGTGATGAGAGGTATCCTTGGTATAAAAACGTTCTCTCCTTTAGCTTTTTCTGTCAGTATTGTAGCTTCCAGTACATGTGGCATCGTGTTCTTCTTGTGAGCGACTCATCTCTCATTTTGAGTATGATGTCTCGTTTCTCAAACTCTTGACCGACAATCAGGATGGCTGCTTCATCAACTACAGGAGGATTGAATCTTCTTTCATGTTCTCCCTTAGGGGTCGTGTTTGCTTTGATCCTGACTATGTACTCGTCAGAAGGCATGTTTTCCAGGGCATTTTTAAATGATTGTACATACGTGTTGCGCTCATGCAGCATTTCTTGGATAGATAGGAGAATGTCATGTCTGACACCTTGAATGTTGGCACACCTGATAGTAGTCTGCTTTTCATGATCTCCTATGAAGTAGATTTGGAGGAACTTTGCCAGCTCATCTTCCAGTGGTAAGAGGGATCCTGCTTTGTGATAGACTTGACCCTGGACTTTGAATGTGGGCATGTATCCGTGTTCACGAACTACTCTGCTAGCTCGAAAGGATGTCTTCTGGAAGCATGAATTGTACTTCCGTATATTTTCCAAGAAGTGTTTTGACTCTGGCGTTGTTCCCAGCATGAGAGTCCTCAATGGTTGTGGTAGTTTTTCAAAATTTGGCAGTCGTACTTTCCCACTAGAGCAGCACAGTCCAACAAATTCTCCTTTGTACTTCTTTGCACCGCAGTATTCACATTTCTTATCCATGTTGCCAATGACAACAGAGGGATACTTTTCATATTCTATATATAACATCATCCATCATCACCACTACATATAACACCACCCATCATCACTACATATAACACCACCCATCATCACTACATATAACATCATCCATCATCACTGCATATAGCACCATCCATCATCACTACATATAACACCATCAATCATCACTACAGATCGGTAAAGTAGTTTCCGAGATTCTCGTGCGGACACACACACACACACAAACACACAAACTAACACACAGACATACTTCTTTGTTATATATATATATATATATATATATATATATATATATATATATATATATATATATATATATATATATAACATATATATATATATATACATATATATATATATATATATATATATATATATATATATATATATATATATATATATATATATATATATATATATATATATATATATATATATATATATATATATATATATATATATACTGTATATACATAGATACGTCATATTGATGTCAATTTACGACAAGCAAAACCTTATTTTTACTTGAATTATAACACAATAAACCTTAATTACTATAGTTTATGACAGCACACACCTTATTTATTATAATTTACACCACAAGCTTTATTTTTTTTAGTTTACGACACCACAAACTTTATTTATTATAGTTTACGACAACACAAGCCATATATATTATAATTTACGACATAAAAAACCTTATTTATTTTAGTTTATGACACCACAAACTATATGTATTATAGTTTACGACACCACAAACCATATTTATTGTAGTTTACGACACCACAAATCTTATTTATTATAGTTTACGACACCACAAACCTTATTTATTATCGTTTACGACACCACAAACCTTATTTATTATAGTTTACGACACCACCAACCTTATTTATTTTTGTTTATCAGACTATAGCTAACAGTAAGTAGATGCCCACGTGGTAACCCATGTAGATTGACACACCCAAAGTGAGATGCAGTCCTGACCCTGGATAGGTCACGGCCACTAGGTACCTGAGTTAACCCGGCGTTATGACAGTGTTACACCTGGATAAGCTGTCCAGACCTGACCCAAGAGAGGTCAGTCTCATTGACCCAGAGTCCTCACCGCCACGCGATTAGCTTAACCCGGCGACATGACCGTGTTAAAGAAACCACACCTCGCCAAGACAAACCCGGGTAATAGTTGAATTGAATTGAATTGAATTGAAACAGTTTATTTAGCCAGAAAAACCGAGATACACAGTGGATAATAATAACATTAATAACATGGGTGAGCCAGTTGAGAACCTGAGCTCTCTTTTAGGCACCTAATATACTGTCTACTATACATTTATCTCAAAGAAGTATTATATAACATTTAACATAAGAACATTAGAAAATAAGGAGTCTGCAATAGGCCGGTTGGCCTGTGCATGGCAGCTCCTGTCGAGAGTTACTACCACTCTCTATCATCCATGAATCTATCCAGCCTTTTTTTAAACTTTCCAGCGTTCCAGCACTTACTACAAAGTTGCTAAGCTGGAATAGTACAATAGCATAGTGGTAATAAGAACATCTCATAATGTTACCACGGTTATCACTTCAATATTTATTAATTGTATATATTTATTATTATTTTTTTTGTGTTTATATAGACATAAATTATAGTGGAATTGAAAAATAAGTATAATGGGGGAGCAGTATAACATGGGTAGTACAGGTTGTACAAGAGGACAGAGCTGTCAGGATTATGTCTAGTTGGCAATTGTGTTTATTGCAATGGTAATTACCTATCTATTTACATGATAATTTCCGATAAAACGTTTTTGATGGTACAATAAAAGCAGGTATTGTAAATATAGTAGGTGTTACAAGAAATATTATTACTTAGACAATAGATATTTTTTAAGAGATGATTTAAAGGAAAGGAGAGTAGTCTTTGCTTGGATGGGTAAGTTGTTCCACACCCCCACACCGTGATATCTTATGGAGGTCTGAGACTGAGAGGAGCGCATGGGGGTGGTCTTAATAGCTCTGGGTGCCTTAAGTTGTATCTCCGATTATTCCGGAACTGGAAATAGTTATTGTCAAGCAAGTGATTGGTAGATTTCTAAACAAAGAGGGCACAGCAGTAGGTGTTAATATCTTCGAATTTTTTAATATTCAATATAGCAAATTTTTCGTTTGTGTGATCTGTTTTCTTCAAGTATGTCATTGTCCGTACAACTCTCTTTTGTGCAGAAACCAGAGATTGTGTTTTTGAAGAGCCAGAGGCCCCCCCATAGTGTGTGACAGTGTATCAGGTGTTGGTAAACAAGATCACGATACATTTCTTTCATTGCTGTGAGAGTGAGTGACTGTCGAGTGTGATACATGATACCGCACTGTTTAGTGACTTTACTATGAATGGCTTGTATGTGGTTTCTCCAGTTAAGTTTCTCATCAACAATAACTCTGAAGAATATAGTATTTTGTTCGCATTTGAGGACTGTATTACCAAGGTACAGGGGGTCCAAGTCTGGGGGTAAGTTTTTCCTTTTGTGAAAGATCATGTAGTGGGTTTTCTCAAGGTTTAAGGTCAGTTTATTACGTATTACCCAGGTCCTGACTTTGGTCAATTCAGTGTTCATAGTTCTCATCAAGGAATGGAGGTCTGAATTGCTAGCATAAAGATTACTATCGTCTGCAAATAAGTTGTATTTTATGAGTGTGCTGGCGTGGACTATGTCGTTTATGTCCATCAAAAACAGTACTGGACCGATAATGGAACCTTGAGGGACGCCATACAAGATTGGCGAGGAGTCAGATTGGTGATTATCATAGCAGACATACTGCAATACTGCATCCTGTTGGACAGATATGAGGTAAACCAATTGTGGGACAGGCACCTGGACAAACACAGCTGTCCCTATCTAACCAGTTTAGTGTTAATTAGGAGAGGTCATGTGCCGGCTCTCCTCCAATATTAAGGCCCTGCAGCCCCTTCCACGGGGCATTGCTTTCACATCACTGAAGACAGAAGATGGAGTCACGCTCGTCACTAGTCGAAGTCGGGAGGGAGACTTCCCTCCCCAGCACCGCGTCTCTAGCTAGCAGAGTCTCCCATAGGAGACATAGTCCAGCAGCACTCACTGGGCCTCCCTCAGGTCACACGTGAGTCATTGACAGAGCTATCCATATTGTGAGTTACTTATGGTGGGAAGTGTATCCATTGCATGTTTGTGTCCGAGAGTCAGTGTCTAGTAACGTAAATATAATGTTCTATTAATGTGTCTGTGTCATTAAGTGAATAATAAATAGCTGTACTTAGAATTGGTGTTTAAAAAGATTTCCCCTAAGAACGTATTTACAGTTAAATAACTAATCGGCCACGCTAACAAACTTCCCCACTTTCCAATCCTACGACGAAACAACTTCTTCCTGTACTTTCTATTTTTAAATCCCCCCTCATTACAGACACAATAACCTTATTTATTATAGTTTACATCACAAACCTTTTTTTATAATATACGACACCACAAGCATTTTTACTAAAGTTTACGACAACATAATCTTTAATAATTTTAATGGTTATGACACCAAAAACCTTAATTATTATAGTTTTTGATACCACAAACGTTAATTAATATAGTTTATGACACCATAGATCCTAATTATAATAGTTTACCACGCTACAAACCTTAATTATTATAGTTTATGACACTATGAACATCAATTACTGTTAGCATATCACACAGCGAATCTTATTTATTTTTGTTATGAGCTTTCGACAAGGCAGTCTTGTTCTATGTATTATTGCATCCCTGCATCACTGTATCATTGTATCATTGTATTTCGGTTTCACTGCATATCTGAATCCCTATAATTTTATCGTTGTATCATTGTGCACTGTAATATTGTATTGCTGTATTATTATGAAACTCTATCATTGTAACAGTGTATCATTGTATCAATATATTACTGTAACAGAGTATCACTGTATCAATATATCACTGTATCAGTATATCACTGTATCAATATATCACCGTATCAGTATATCACTGCATCAGTATATCACTGTATCAATATATCACTGTATCAGTATATGACTATCAGTTTATCACCTTATCAATGTATTACTTCAAAGTTCATCTCTTTGTGCCATACAAGCCTATATACTGCATGTGCCATAAACCCCATACACCAATTGTCTATGAGTCGTGCTGTGTCTTCAACTCAGAACAAGATCCAACATCAGACTTCAGATTTGCCACGCTAGGAGGCTAGTTTATTAGACACCCCTTGCATCCTGTACAAGGCGAAGCACAAAAGCGTTTACATCGCTCAACAGGGAAGCATGTGGAGTTCATGCTTTCCTTCGTGCCTCATGCATTAAGGACGCAAATTGCCGGACGGACAATGGGATTTGTCAGCAAGTTACGTACAGTGACAGGAGGAGAAATGTGTAGGGGGAGAATTCACAATATAATTCATGTTTTTGGCAAAGCGTGGCAGGTCCCTTATAATGTCAAGTGCAAGAGGAGGGATATCTGGTCAGGGAGGAAAGTGATGGTGACGGATGGTGGCCTGAAGGAAGAAGTCATAGGGCAATTTTAAAACTTCATCGACCTTGAACCAATCTTAAGTTAACGTCAACATCAAGATGGCGTGAGTTGAGTTATTGACCTTTTACACATTTGTTTGTTTTTCAATAATACTGCTAAACTTTTTTTTTAGAATATATTTCATTAAACGTTAGAGTTCATTTGACGCCACCATGGTACTTATATCCGTTAGGTAGCAAGCAAATGGAGAACCATCATTTATGGCTCTTACGGAGACTCGCTCGCCTTCACCCTTTCTTTTCTCTCCTCCCTCTCACTCGTCTCTCCGACCCCGCCTCTAGCAATATTGCGGACAAGAGTCATGTAATTCCTCGTTATTTTATTCATGGTTTTCATTTTCTCTTTTACTGTATTTTTAATCAGACGTTGATGTGTGTCTTAATGAGAATCAGGAGTTTTATCTGAGGTCTGTGGACAAGGGCGCGTTCTGCCTCGTAGAATATTTCAGTGGTCATTACTGAACACGTCCATCAGTTAGTCCCGCTCAAAGGATCGTATGAACTGGGGCAGACAATTACTAGTTTAGTAACGACAATCTCTTTAGCAGTTAACTTTTTGGCCCACACTCCTCACAGTGTATAAGCCCCGCTGTGAGTGATGGGTGTCACCTGTTAGTTTCTGTGGTAACCCATCAGCTGTCGTTATTTCGTAGCGTCAGGTAGCAGATCACGAACACCACAACTACCACACCCGTAACTTGGGGGTTTGTTAGAGGACAAAATGTGAAAATGCTTTTTAGTCAGAAATTGGAAATGAACGTGTCTAACTAATTTAGTAGTTCCAGTGTAAAAGAAAAACACGAACAAAATCCAAAGCGAGTAATTAATGCGAGGATCAATTTTTCTGAAGGGTCGACAGGACAACTAATTACCGAAATTGCAACTTTTTCAACCCACACCCCTAATCAGCAGGATGAGGAGGACCTGTATTTGAGATCTGGAACAAAATTAAAATTCTGAATAATTTGTCAAAGTGGTACGGGAGTGAGTTATTTTAACATTCTTCTTTTTGGCATTAAAAATATGTTTTAACTGGTTCTATTGTCGTACAGTCTACCAACACTACCACCACAACTAGAACACCCACCACTACCACTACAACCAGCACAACCACCTATGATACCACTACCACCATAACAACAATACCACTACAACCACCACAATCACCACTACCACCATTATAATCACAATTAACACAACCACCACTACCATCACTCCATCATCACACCACATCACCATAAAACGATACCCTGACCTACACCACGAAGTTGTGACTGAGGACATCGATATTGTGTGTCTGCAGGAGTGTCTCACACCTAATGGTAAGCCCCCACCCAGTCTGCCCAATTATGTGTATTATGATCC